TGAGATAATAATTCTTTCCGCAAAAAAATTCACAGGACCAGATGTGTTAAACAGGGAAACGTGAAGGGTGGATTTAAATTCGCGAGGTTGCATGTAGACGGAGAACATTCTCCCAAAATTTCAGCTAGCTAGCTTTTGTGGCTCCCGAGTTGAAAATGCCGAAAAAAACGTACTCGAACACACATACACAAACAGGGTTGTCAATATGCGTTCTGTGCTGTTGTCACACTTTCCAAAACGAATAAAAACAGGTTTCCGAGCTGAAGACAAACCTCGCAAGTGAAGAAGATAATTCATCGTTCTTTTTCTTAAGCTCCGTGAGCTCATCAGCCATCACCGGTAAATTTGCAAGTGAGGAGGTCAACTCATCGTTCTTCTCCTTGAGCCGTGTAAGTTCATTAACCATGCCTGCTAAATCATTCGCAAGCTTCTCTTTTTTAGCCGTCACATTTTCAACTTCCTTCTTCTAAAAAAGTGCATGGATTTATTGAAGAAAGGTAAAAAGTTTGCAAATTTTTTATATTTATCGGAAATTTACCGCCATTTTTTCGGCATTGATCAAGCCATCGCGTTCACCCAACAGATTGCTGAGCGTTTCTTCTAACGTTTTTCCTTTACAATTCGTTGAACTTAGGCATTTTTCAATACTGAAAAATAACTCACATGAAACACTGCCAACAAGATGGACAGAAGTACCCGCATAAACACCAATTCCTCAGTTCAGGCAAATTCAGTTGCGAACTACCTGCACTGATGGGGAAATAATAGAAAGCAGTTGCTCAAAGTATCAAAAATAAAGTACGGAATTACTTAAAACAGGACTCTGAACGGTTACCAAAGAGAGTGGCTGAAGAGGTCACCCAAATCTGGCCAAAAGCCTAATTCGTCAAATAAAAGTAATAAAAAAAACTAACTTCTGCAATCTGGCAGCAAGCACTTTCACTTTTTCTTCGCTATCATTCCGGAGAGTAACACGATTTTTTAATGTTTCCGTTAGTGCTTCATAACGTTCTTGCACTTTTTTATGCTGAAATTTTTCACTTTCTTTTTATTTTATATCAAAGCAAATATGCCACGGAATACTTGTGAAAGCGCTGGTGTTGAGCCCTAAATATCATTTTTATGCTTTTTTGCAGCAGTACAATGCGAAAAACGCATACTGACGAGAGGTTGTCTGTGTGTGGGTGTGTCTGTGTGTGTGTTTGTGTGTGTGTGTGTGCGTGTCTGTGTGTGCGCTGGGCCTCTGTACCGATTTTTCATTTCGAGACCGGCAAAAGCTACGGGGTTGAAAATTTGGGACTTAATATACATGCACGTACGGGCCCCTATCCCCAAAATGGGCGGTCCTTCCCGCGTGGTA